CAGTTCACATCGTGTGCCTGGTTGCCTGGGGAGTTCATAGAGCTGGTTTCTCCACCGATGCTTCACATGCCGTGCAAGAAATTCTCCGTATTCTTCCCTAAAAAGGTGCCTACCCACCAATCGAAAGAGTTGGTCGCCTTCCTGGAAATTTCCAAGCCCCATGAGGAGGAGAACGGCCCCTTCATAAGAACATAAGAGATGCCAATGTTGGATCAGGCCAAAGGCCCACCCAGTCCAACACTCTGTGTCACACAGTGGCCAGAAATACCAGGTGCCACCAGGAGGTCCAGCAGTGGGGCCAGGACACCAGAAGCCCTCCCACTGTTGACCCCCCCCCCAAGCACCAAGAAGACAGAGCATCACTTGCCCCAGAGCCCCTATCTATACCTTGTGGCTAATATCCACTGATGGACCTCTGCTCCATATGCTTATCTAATTCCCTTTTGAAGCCGTCCATGCTTGTAGCCGCCACCACTTCCTGTGGCAGTGAATTCCATGTGTTAATCACTCCTTGGGTGAAGAAGTACTTCCTTTTATCCGTTCTAACCCGACCGCTCAGCAATTTCATGGAGTGCCCACGAGTTCTTGTATGGTGAGAAAGGGAGAAAAGTACCTCTTTCTCTACCTGCTCTGTCCCATGCATAATCTTATAAACCTCAGTCATGTCACCCCTCGGTCGTCGTTTCTCCAAGCTAAAGAGCCCCAAGCGCCTTAACCTTTCCTCATAGGGAAAGTGTTCCAACCCCTTCCCGGCTCTCCTGGCTCCAGTCCCCTTGCATTTAGTGTAATGAGAAGGAGCGTTTGCATCTGGCACGCCAGGCAAAGCAGCTTAAGTGGGATTACTGTGACTAGGCCCCGGCGTCTTTGTTGCCCCCCTCCCCCGGTGTCCTCCTGTCTAGGACCCCTGGCTGTGTCCTCCTGTGCCCCGGATGTTTCCGTCTGGGGGCACCCAGGGCTCTGGCGACGAACGCTTCTCTCCCTTTTCCACCCGGAAGCTCAGGTGGGTGGGGGCAGGAGCCTCGCATGCCACTCCTCCTCACACCAGCTTTGCTTTAATCGCACGGTGCCCTTCCGCTTCCCTCCGAACGGCATTTCTTGAACGGAGGTGGTTTTCCAAAAGCTCAAAGCACCGCAGTGGACTCCGGGAGCAACGTGGCTCCGCGCTTGTTTTTCCTCTCCAGCCATTGACGTGGGAAGGTGGATGGTGGCTTGTGCAGCCGTTGTGGCGCATTAAGGATCGAAGGCAAGGGGTCCCCTGTGTCCAGTGGCCCCTTTCCTGGCACCTGCCGCTTTTGGGAAGTGGGCGGTGTCAGGTTCCACAGCAAGTCCCTCTTCACACACGTCTCCTAAGAAGCGTTATGCTTTATTAGTGTACACGACTGGTACCATGTCCACAGGATTATTGTTAGGAATAACTAGAAGGCGGGAACATCCCAATACATATAAACTGGGCAAGGCCATTAGCTAAGCAAATGAACTTCGAGCGCGCGGGCGGGAAGACTCCCGGCGGGAGATTACATAATGAGCGGGAGAGTCCCATGGTTTCCTGAGAGCAGAAAAATTCACACCAATTGTGGACCGCAAGCCCTCCCTAAGGCACAAGGCCAGACTGATAACTGCGTCTAGCTCCCACGGTCTCCCTGGCATGTTTACGGCAAGCTGCTGAGCTGCAAGCAAGGCGGGAAGAGGGAAGGGCAGAATACACATAAATGGCAGCTAATAATAATAATATAATAATATACTTTATTCTCATTGTACATAGTACAATGAAATTAAAGATGCAATCATTTCGGTGATCTACAACAATATTCATATGCACTCACACACCATTCACTACTGTCCCATAACTCCCTTCAGGTTCACATAACAACTTAAAACCACCAATGTCACCCAAACTCCAATTTCATACGGCATTTAAGGCAATAATAGCTCTCGAATAAAAACTATTTTTTAATCTGTTTGTCCTTGCTTTAATTGTCCTGTATCTTCTGCCCGAAGGCAGCAGTTCAAACAGGAAATGTTCAGGGTGTGACAAGTCCTGCAAAATGTTCTTTGCTTTTTTCAAACATCGAGAGCTATACAATTCCTCCAGGAATGGGAGAGGGCAGCCAATGATCTTCTGGGCTGTAATAACTACTCTCTGGAGTGCTTTCCTCTCCACAGCCATACAACTGGCAAACCAGGCACAAACACAGCTAACTGACAGGCGGGGCTTTTGCCCAGGAGGGCTTCTGGTTGGCCGTGCAGGTGGAAAGGCATCCTGTTCAACAGACGAAGAGTTCCTAATACAGTTGCACCTATATAACCTTGCTCCCTGATATTTTGTGGTTGGCGCCACCTTTCATGGCAGCCATTTTGTGACCGTGCCCGGTGCCAGAATCCCAAAGGTGCCCACGCAGGCTCAAAAAGGTTGGGGACCCATGATCTAAGGAAAGCCCGGACAGAGCCCAAAGTCCAGTTCTCTCCCCAGTCCACGGGAGATACAAGCTGCGCATAAACGGACCAGTTCTCCCCAATCTGTTTTCCACAGCAAGCAGCCGAGGTTCAGAGGTACACTCAGAGGTCATTTCGGGGGGGATCGCGGGGGATCGCAGTTCCCCTGGGTGAGGTACGGGGGCGGGACACATGACGAAGCCCGGCTTCCGGCCGCCCCGCTTCCGGCCCTCATTCAGGCTGGAGAAGAGGGAGGGGAAGTTGCTTCCTCCCTGCCTCTCCCCACCCCTGGCTGCCTGGGGC